ATAATTACTTAGAAGAAGGAACGGACCAAAGGTTTACACCGCAGTATGCGTTGTTGTCCACTAACTTATTGCCAAGGATGATGTAGGGTCAGAACGTGTGGCATTTGCCACAATATGCACTGATGATACTGACATTCAACGACCTGACGTTTGCCTCGATCACGTCTTGGATACCCCGACCAACACCCTTTCAGCCGATCATAAAAATTATTATTTAAAATTCCATTCATTGAAAAAACAAAAACTGTGAAAAAAAACTGAATTAGTTTTCGTCGCACACATGATGTCATTGCCTTGATAACTTTGACAGGATCTAGATCATAGTCTATTCATAGATGTGTCAATGAATAGCCATTGGCGGACTATGCTCGGCCAATCGTCAAGTTATGCTTTTGATTATGCCACAATTATGCCAACAAATATGCTGAATTATGCTGAATTATGCTCGGTTCCACTATGTATTCACACTGTACATAGAGGATTGAGAAACCACGCATACACACACGGCCATGCCCTAAGCATAATTTTTGTCTAAACCGAAGGATTATGCCGACCTTACACGCTGGAATCCGTATAATATACGGATTCCAGCGTGTAAGGTCGGCATAATCATATGCCGGAGCATAATTTTTGGACGAAATCCCAAGATTATGCCAAATATAATGCCGCCATAATCCGCCAAGGGCTATGACAAGGAGTCGTAACTGGGGTATTAAAAAAACATCTGCAGGCTTTCTGACAAAGCTGTATTATGCCCCTAAGCATAATTTTTGTCTAAACCGAAAGATTATGCCGACGTTACACGTTGGAATCCGTATTATTATGCCGGAGCATAATTTTTTGACGAAATCCCAAGATTATGCCAAATATTATGCCGGCATAATCCACCAAGGGCTATCAATGAATGAACCAGTGAGTCACTGACTCCATTCCAGGTAATCGGTAGTATTCGGTACCACTACAGTCGTCCCTCTTAATCCAGGGTAGGGAGTTCAGTTCCGGTCACTGAAAAGCGAAAAGTGCAGTCACAGCTCGCCTGTACAAAGTGAATGGGCGCCTCGTGGCTGCAGTTCGAGATGCAGTTCGCGGCCCGAGTATCTTCTCCCGCGGCCTTTTCGGCCTTGTCGATGCTATTTTTAGGTAGCTGAGGTCATTACCTTTCCAATGGTGCCACACATGCCATGCTTCCAAAAATAATGCCTCCGCGCTTGGCGCGGGTGCACTTCGAAGTACTAATTTCGACCAGATCCGTACTCGGCTTCGCGAGGAACACCCGATTTTCGTGTTCAGCGGCCTCGAATTAGCCTAAACCAAGAGGATTCTACAACATTGAGGCTCGCGCTTTATCGCCGTAGAAGGAAAATGATCACAGAAACCAGCCCACGGCGATTTCCTGGTGGTAGACGAAAAAATCGAGTGAACTGCGCGCACACTGGTAGAAGCAGTGACGGTGAAAACGTGTGACTTGTGCAAGTCGGCGCGCACGGCATGCGTGCACACTGCATGCATGCACACATCCTGTATCGCCATGTATGCACCAGATAGTGCAGTGCTGGACGGAAACCACACGGCTCCCATACATACATGTACTTGCATTTACTTCTGTGACTACTTTCTCCCCCGTTTTCCGATCTTCAATCGACTATAACTCTAGATTGCCTTGGAATTTTGGGTTCAAATTTTCACAGGTTGTTTCTCGATTCTTCCCGGTTTAGAAAAACTAGCGTTTTATGCAAAACTCGCGAATTTGATTTTTCAATTGAAGTCCCTATCCAGGGACTAATACATGTGTTTCACGATGACGGCGTGAACAAGGCGGAGGACCCACAGTATAGGAAAACAGTGTTCCTGACTGAAATCATAAACTGGTTGGCGGGCCCGGTCTTGCGACAATTTGAACCACGAGATCAGGGAATAGTCCTATAATGCTCCAATAGAGTAATGAGTGTCTGAACAGTAGCATAGCCCATACGGTTCAAATGGGCACAGGATCGAGACCCTACCCGGCAACCGGTGTATGTTTGCAGTGAGCCTGGAGTAGTGTTTTCCCATACAGTAGGTAGTCCACCTTGTTCACACTGTCATCATGAAACTTACATACTACAATCAGGTACGTGTAGTTACGAAGTTTGTGTTCAAACCACACTACCCAGATCTCTTCATTTCCAACAGCAATGGCCAAACAGGAATGTCGTGAAATTATGACTCCATACCAGTAAAGAATGTTTCTCAGACCATTTTCAGTCACAGACTGACTAATGTGTTTGGTACTTTGTCGGCTCATCATCTCAACACAGATCCTAGTGAGAACAAAACTACTTATACGTACTGACGATGAAGGAACTTAGAAAACATTATCCAACAGGGAAATTGGCCATGCTGCTGAGCGCAAGCTGCTGTTAGAATGTTTAATCTGAGTCATTGACTATGATTGAGCTAGGCCTTGACAGATTATGCTAGCATAATTTTTCGCATAATTCCTACCAAAATCGAATAATCGCATAATTCGAGGCAAATTGCATACGAATCGCATAAAATTGGAATAATCCGCCTGTTCGCATCAAATTTCATACAGTTGTACATGTTCTACAACAAGTACAAATACAAGTAGATGCACCAGGAAGTCGTAGGTTTACGACTCCCTTGATACCATGTCCAGTCCACTACAATCAGTGATGGTCGTAGCTAGGTCGGACGGTGCGTTGACCCCCTTGAACTTTTGCCACTACAGTACAACGCCCTCTACAAAAAAATTCCCCTGGTATTTTGCATTTTGCACAGAACCATTATACATTACAGTTCATTTGAAAACTATAGACGCGTACCTAGGCAACAACCGTTATGCCAGCATCTATACCACATCAAATCTGTGATCACTTTGTGCATAAATTTTTCCAAATTGGGCGTCTGTTATCCAATCCTTTAGAAACTACATGTATATGAGAGTAATAATTATTGTGGAGCGATCCTGAGCAATATTCCGAAAACTATTCTCAAAAAGTTCCAGCCAAATTTGAAATATTTCAAAAAACCCTACGCGTCTATAGTTTTGAAATGCACTGTAGCAGCATAATGCGGCATAATAATATAACTAAAGAGTCGGCGTGGAGAAAGCAATTTTATTAGTGCAATTAGGAGTATAATCGATGCAGACATGGCCAGACAACAACGAGTTCATGGAATTTTTAAGGATTTTTATGTTATTCAAAATCGATTTTCGTGTTCCGCTCATCAGTGAATAGTATCGGAACTGAGGGTACTGTGTACAAAAATAGAACATTTTATAACAGCATAATTAATTAAAAGTGTGAACAACAAAGGAAGTGCTACAGCATTACATAAAAGGTGTCAAACATAGTGCTAACGTATATAACTGAGTGCAGCCACAAAGCAAGAGGTGATACAGTGCAACATGACACAACATTTACATCTGATAACCAGCTACGAGAACAACTTTAGCGCGACTACGTGCTTCTTTTGTTTACAAAGAACAGGATTATGCACACGAATACATACAGCTTCCAGAACCTTCAACTGCTTTAAAACATAACTTTCACGGCACAAAACAGAAAAGTGAGAATCATCGTACACACTAAGACAATCTGGACGTGATAACAAGTGACAAAATACAGCTGACTTTTTGCTCACGTCGCTCTCTTCCGTCTCATCCCGCTCCTTTCCTTCGACCTCCTCCGCCCTATCCTCGTCCTCCGTCTCATCTTCATCATCATCGTCCTCATCACCACCATCATCATCATCAGTCACTTCCTCATCATCCGTTTGATGCTCAGTCTCACTGCACTCCTTATCAGCCTCCAACATGGCTCCATCATCTCCACCAGCATCACAAGTCGTTTGACCGCTGCTCCGCGTCACCGTTGCTGGGTTCTCTGCTACTGCACACCCATTTCCATTGTCCATTTTGCGTGGGCCAAGTCCATTCCGTGCATAAATGTCAAGTGAATAGTTTGCTGTGCTTCTTCTGGGTCTATGAGTGAGGATATTGGTTTCATTTTGGTTTGTCGATGATCTCCCTCTCTGTCCAGACACAGTCGGCACCGTGGATCCCAGCACCGGGGGGACCACCGTCTCGGTAGTCACCAAAGGTAAAGGGGGTGGCTCAGGTGGAGGCAAGGGCAACTGCCGAGGTGAAGGTTCAGTGTCTCTCGGTGGCCCCTCCTCCATTCCAGGACGATGATGTTGTGCTAGAGTAGGCTCCGCTGCCGTTTGCAGTGGGTCGAGAAGTGGTGGCCAGGTCAATGATGGCAAACCCACCCCAGCCCCAGCCACCCACGGCACCCCAGGTGGTGGGGCCGGTGGTGGCACGGGAACAGGCGGCGCTGTCGGCACAGCGTGTTTGTCTACTGAGCTAACTGGGTTCTTACACGGCCTACCACGCTTTGGCCGCTTTGCTCTGGCTGCTGGTGGTAATAAGTGCAACGGCTGAGTGCAGCTTTGTGGCTGCACTCAGTTATATACGTTAGCACTATGTTTGACACCTATTATGTAATGCTGTAGCACTTCCTTTGTTGTTCACACTTTTAATTAATTATGCTGTTATAAAATGTTCTATTTTTGTACACAGTACCCTCAGTTCCGATACTATTCACTGATGAGCGGAACACGAAAATCGATTTTGAATAACATAAAGATCCTTAAAAATTCCATGAACTCGTTGTTGTCTGGCCATGTCTGCATCGATTATACTCCTAATTGCACTAATAAAATAATATAACTTTTAGCATAAAAATAGCATAATTCTGCAATTTTTTCAGCAATGCGAAAAGCATAATTTCACGAAAATATAAGCATAATCTGTCAAGGCCTAGATTGAGCCAGTCTCCGTCACGTGATATCATACACTGCGTTTCTGTGTTCTACGTAGCTTGTAAATGATAGCAATGATGATGTCCATGAATGTGACGTGACCACTCTTAGTCAATGACGTAGTGGTTGATTGTGTGACGATGCAGTTAGACAGTGTTGATGTGTAGCATAGCTTACATACAGTGAAGTCTGTACTTTACACTGCTGTTCATCTCATAGTGAACATTTGGGAAAATCTCAGACAAAATGTCCTTTTCTACAAGTCATGTAAGAAGGAAATGATTTTCGAACGTGATCCGCTGCAAATGTGCTGGCTGTGTCTGTAGCTGGAGTCCCAATGTGTAGGTGGAACT